GGGGGCGGCGCGCGCTCGCCGTGGCTGGATTCAGCTCGGAACGTTCTGGCTGGCAGAGCAACTGAGCAACGTAATCCGGGCCTAGGGGCGGCGTCGTGTCGGATGGCAATCTGAATCGTGTCTGTCATCGTAGCGAGAGGGCTGAATTAAACAATTAAACCCAAATGCTAAATGGCCAAATGGCCAATGGCGGACTTGATGTTGATGCAGAAGCGAAGCGCTTAAATTTCAGCCGACGTACCGATGTGTGCAAGCAATGTGTTCGTCGGTGCAATCGGTGCAAGTCACAGTCGAAGTGCTTTGCCTTCGCTCTTGCGCACGCGTAATGATTCCCCTCTGAGGCCAGGGCCCAGGGGCCCAGGGGCCCAGGGCCCCCCGAAACGAAACGGATGCACTGATGCAATGTTTTGCTGATGGAGGCAGCTTTAATGCTTTCATCTCTCAATCAGGCCATCTACGTCGCCCACGAGATGGAGCCGAACAACAAGAACGTCAAGAAGATCATCGAGAACGGGCTTCACATTCAGGTGTGGAAGGCCACGACCCCCGATGACGTTCTCAAGTGGTTGAAGCTCGAGGGGAACAACTGGCACCATGGTGTCGCCACAACGTTCCTCGAGCTGTTCCCGGGCATGGGTCAAACATCAAACTAGCTGCCTCCCCACTCCACTGGATCACGCTGGATCACTGCTGGATCAAGGCCCCGGGGCCCGCCCAGGGCGCCTTGTGCGCCGACGACGTCTGGCCTTGGCGGCGGCTGCATGCCAGCTGCGGCGGGCCGCCACCGTCACCTGCGGGGCCCGTGAGGGGCGCTGCGGAGAGGCGGAGAGGAGGAGGAGAGGAGAATGAGAAGAGAAGGATGAGTACTGGTATCATGGTGATGGTGATGATGTTGCTGAGTCTAAGGGGGAGGAGAAATTATCGGACAATACGGGGCGGGAGACGGAGGCGGCGGGAGGGAGGAGGACGAGGAGGACTGGCGGAACTGATGCAAAATGATGTTTGGTTTGGCAGCAGGCACATCGCCCACGTCCAAGATGCCAAGTTGAGATGGCCCCCGCCCCGTTTTCCATTGGCCCAGGCTGCTGGCCATTGAGGAGATCGACAAGGGGTGGGAGGCGCATCGCATGTCCGAGAGCGGCGCCACGTCGGTCGGGGCTCCCAGGTCGGGGCCAGAGAGCTACACCGCCGCGCTCGAGCAGTGGACGATGACAAATTTTGGCGCCATGTTCAGCAAGTCGAAGCAGCTCGTCATCACCACCAGGGCCGTCCGGAAAGCGCTCATCAGGCCACTGGCCGCGGGCAAAGCCGCCCACTGCCACTGCCGCCTTGCTATGCTTGCGCTTGCTAGGCGGGGCGGCGGGCAGTGCGTTCGAAGCTTCGGGGGCAGGGTGAGCAGGGTGAGCTGTTTAGTTTAGTTGGTTCAGTCGTTTAGGCGCCAGTGCCAGTCCCAGTGCCAGTGCAAGTCGGTCGCTGCGGTCGCTCGCTAGCGTGCTCAGCGCGCTGTGCTGCTGCGCTTGAAAGGGCGACTCGCATTCGACGGTGAACCAGTGACCAGTGAACCAGCGTGCCAGTGGGCAAGACGGGTTTGGATCCCAGCGCCAGCGTGCCAGTGCCAGAGGCCCAGGGGGGCCAGAGTTTGAAACGCCCCCCCCCCCCCCACACCCCCACACGGCCGCGGACTTTCTGCAGCCGTTGGCGTTTGCGGGTTTCAGGCCGTTCGTGGGGCACGTGGGGCACGGTGCGTTCCAGGAGGCCACTGCAAACTCCAACATTGCTCCAGGACTCCAGCACTCCAGGGCCCCGCCGTCCGCCTACTCCTCCCCGGACTCCTCCCCCCTCCCACAAGTGTCAGACGTGCCAGAAGCGCGTGTTCGCCGCGTGTTCGGTTTGGTTTTGGTTGGGGGTCTCGGAGTCTCGGAGTCTCGGATTTCTCGCGAGCCCCGCCCCGCCCGCTCGAGGTTCGGCCTGTTCGACGAGTTCTACTCCATGGTCGGCGGCGATCGCGGCGTCGACTTCCTCAAGCCAGAGATGTGCGCCAATGCCACCATCCTCGGCATCATGAAGCAGGTGCTGACAATGATGGAAGACGTCTTCGAGCAGACGATTGCGAGTCCATCTCTGCTGAAAATCATGACTCTCGAGTTGCTCAAGATGTGTTTCGTATGGACAGAGGGCGACGGGGACTGCGTTAGCAAGCATTACATCTTCACGACAGCCGGCACCACTGCCAAGCTCCTCGAGTATCTGACGTTCCGCATGGCGGGCTCCACCTTGTACAAGGCCGCCGCCGATGGCAAGAAGCGCAAGGCCACCTCGGATAAGAACCCGAAGGAGAAAAAGGCGGCGAAGGCCAAAGGGAAGCCGAAATTCAAGGTTGCCGACGAGGTCATGAGCTTGTCGACTGGCGTTGCGGAGAGGCAGAAGTACTGGCTTGACGATCTCTCGGCGGCCATCCTCAACCCATTGTCGGACTTGCCCGAAGATGCTTTCGTCAAGCCAGCGCTCCGGGAAGCTGTCAGGACGGGCCTTGAGTTCTGTTTCTTGGGGACCGTCAACTTGGCAGGAGTGGTGGTGACCAGTTGGAAGGCCGTGCGCAAGGACATCAGGGCCGGCATCATCAGAGCCCATGCTGACGAGCTGCTCCTGGCCCACCATCGCGCTGGCGCAGCAGCCGCCGCCTCGTCGAAGGAGCTCGCCGATGAGATGCTGAGGAGCTTGGATGAGCGGGACAAGCTTGAGGAGGCGCAGAAGCTGCGGCAGGATGCTGAGGCTCGTGGCCAGTCACCCGCGTGCACCGCCTTGCAGTCAATGCTCGAGGACCAGACATTCGCCAGGCGCATGGTCACGTTCATCAGTGCCAACGTCGGCAAGCAGGTGCCTCTGCAGATGACCCCCGCGTGCAGGGACATGATGCTCAACGTGGCTCGGCGTCTTGAAGCGGTGCGCCTGCCGCCGACGAAGGGTGCCGATCAGGAGGACGGCCTGCTCCGGAGCCTCTGCGGCATGGTGGCCAAGGAGCCCGCCGCTGCTGCTGCTGCTGCTGTCCTCTCCTTATCCCCGTCGCTGTGATCCATGGGCCTTGGGGCCCTGGGGTCAGCGCCCAGACGTGCGAGCCGACGCTTTATGATTTTATGAGTTGCGGAGTTGCGCATTCGGATTCGAGGTGCCGAGGGGCCGAGGGGCCCAGGGGCCCAGGGGCCCAGCAAGCATGACTTGCCACGTCACCTCCGCTCCGGCGCGTGATCAGTGGATCCGTTATCGGCTTATTTGTTGCTTCGATTTCCTCCCGCATCGTCGCATTTCCCCCCCGCCCCTCTGCGCTCCTCCGTCGCAGGAGGTGTTCATTGCCATCCCTCAGAGATGGATGGAGTTCGCCCGGCACGTCCACGACGTCGTCAGCGCCCACCCAGGGTTGCCAGATAACGCCCCAGTCAGCAAGCTGTCGTACAACGTGTTCGACACGCGCGATCGCCTGCTGCGTTTTCGCTGCTGCCGTTTCTTCTACTTCCGCGAGGTCGTGTCACCCTTCCTGGTCGGCGCCGAGAGGAAGAGCTGCTTGGACTACAGCGGTGCGTTCATGTTCGTCTACGCAGAGCAGAATGATGTCGTCGCCTTCCTTGAGACGCATGACCAGGACGCCGACACCTTCGCGCTGCGCTGGTTCGAGCTCTTGAAGGCGTCGTTCGGCGCCGACTCGAGTGCTCGCGATCGGGATCAGATGCGCTCGCAGCTGGATGCCATGATAGCTGCGATCACGCCTGTCTCCGCGCCTGGTGGCCCCACAGCTGCAGCCGACGGCGGCGACGAGGGCGCGGGGAAGAAGGGGGCGGAGCAGGAGATTGATCATGAGAAGTATAAGACGTTGCCTGCCATTCGAGCCGAGTGGACCAGCGAGGGGGACTTGCCTGCTCTCGCGATGGCCAACCTGATCCTGAAGGCGCAGGCAAGGCTGCAGGACCTCGCGTTCCACTCCGAGTCGGCCAGCACGCTGGAGCCCGACGCGAACCTGCAGGTGGTCGAGGCGGACCCGTTCGAGTCACCGGTCGCCTTGTACGTGACGAAGAGGAAGACCACTGCCTCGCTCGTGCCGTCGATCCGCATGAACATGGTCGGCGAGGTGCCAGCAGCGATGAAGAGAAGTGAGGGAATGAGGGAATGAGTCAATGATGAGTGGAGGTGGATGGGGATGAGCGGATGAGCGGATGAGGAGGAATAGTACTGGATGTGGCGACGTGGATGTGGATGAGGTGATGAGCGGACGTGGTGGACATGTGGACACAATTGGACGAGGAGGCTGAGGAGGCTGAGGGGCGGGCGAGGATGAGGAGCAATGGACAGCGATGGCAACGGGGCAGGCGATATGCATGATGCTGAATCTGAATGACGCTTTGTCGTCTTTGCCGTCTGAGGAGCGGGGGGGGGAGGAGGGGGAGGGGGGAGAAGGACGAAGAGGGGAGGAAGCAGCAGGCGCGATCGCCTGGGCGGGACGGGCGGGCCTCAAAGCGGCGCGTGGGGGGCCGAGGAGCGAGCGGGTGAGCAGGTGAGCAACGGGTTTTGGTGGGAGTGAGGGCCCCTCACTCCCACCAAAACCCGCTGCTCAAAAGCGTCCCGGGCCCACCTGGTCACCTGGCTGGCTGCCCAGCGGCCCAGCGGCGGCGCCGCGCCGCCGTCGCCGCCGTCCATCGGCCTCCCCTCCCGAGCCCCTCGCTTTCGGCAGCTCCATGGGGTCCGCGGTCCCGCCCCGTCAGTGCCGCTGCTCCTTGTCCCTGATCCCTTAACGTTCCTGTTATTGTTCCTTTCTTCTCCCCCCCTCCCCTCTCGGCCCCTGCTGCCCATGTCCCTATCGCGTCCCCTCCGCCCTCCCTGGCCCTCCCCTCCACCTTTCTTCTCCGCCCCCGCTCCCTCTCAGAGAGGGGGGGGGAGCGGGGGTCGACGCGTCGAGATTGAAGATACACGTCTACATGTCAGATATGTCGGCCTCTTCTTTCGTTGCCCAGGTGACCCGCTGCCCCGAGGTCGGCGCGATCCCGCTGTGCAAGGTCGCTGGCGTTGAGCTGTTCAACTCTGTGGGCCGCCACGGCTCCTTCGCCGTCCCAGAGTTCAGCCCAGCCTGGATGGTGACCGAGCTGAAGGAGAAAGAGGCTGCAGAGCCCACGGACCTCCTGATGGCGTGCGTGGAGAAGACGGTCACGTGGACGTACAAGTACACAGAGATCGCGGATCTCAAGGCTCTCGACGTGCGCATGACCGTCGTGCAGCTGGAGATGTCCACAGATGCGGTGGCCGCCTTCGACAAGGCGGCGGAGGGGACCCGCTTCCGCCTGACCAGGAGGCCCGCGCCCCATGCGCTGACCGCCACCCCGAAGCCCGTGCCCAAGAAGGGCAAGGGCAAGGCCAAGGGCAAGGGCACCGGCACCGACGGCGACGCCAACGGCAGCGGGCCCGCGGCGGCGCCCCCGAAGCATCTGAAGCACCTGATGCGGTGACCAGCGCACGGTGATACCTCACCGAGCGCGCTCCACTACTCGGAAAGTGCCTACTCGCAAATCGCAAACGTCCGAACAACACATCATGTCTGCTTATGTCACGCTTCGATGAAATTCAAAGTAGGAGATCCCACAGCGGATTCAGGCAATTTGCAAGTAGTTATTTTGCGAGTAGTGGAACTCGCTCGGTGATTACTGGCTGCTCAATGTCACGCGAAGTTGTGTGAGTTTTTTTCGCGTTGCGCATGTATGTCGATGCGCGTGTATTCCACAATTTTAGTTTCGAATTTGTTTGTTTTGTTTGTGTCTGAATTTGAATTTTGGCCATGACAGCACACGCTGCAACTGGCCCAGCGCTTCGGGTGTGCGCTCCAGCCTCGTTCGTCTGCGGGTGTGGCGGACAGGCTCAATGTTCTGGCATAGACGCTTCTATGCCATGCTATGCGCATGCAGCCCCTCCCATCCGGAGGGCCCCTCCCCCCTCGTCCCTCGAGACGGCCCTGAACCCTTGAAATCCACGCCTTCACGCAATCCTCAAAAACTCAAGTTCTCAATCTCCTCTCCGTCTCTCCCTCCTGTCTCTCTGTCTCTCTGTCCCGTGTCGGGGCGTCGGCGTTGCGGCCGTGGCGGCCGCGGCGCCCTCCGCCCGAGCCCCCGCCCCCTCCGTTGGCGCGCCAGCCTGCCGACCCGCCAGCGCCGTCTGGGCGCGGGCGTCGGCGCGGCGCGGCGCCAGCGGCGCCAGGATCGGCAGAGCCCCAGAGGCTCGAGACTCGAGCCAGCACCACGCGTGAAGTGAAAAAATGGCCCACCTCCACTACTACTACTACTACTACTACTACTACTACTACTACTACTACTACTACTACTACTACTACTACTACTACTACTACTACTACTACTACTACTACTACTACTACTACTACTACTACTACTACTACTACTACTACTACTACTACTACGACTACGACTACGACTACGACTACGACTACTACTACTACTACTACTACTACTACTACTACTACTACTACTACTACTACTACTACTACTACTACTACTACTACTACTACTACTACTACTACTACTACTACTACTACTACTACTACTACTACTACTACTACTACTACTACTACTACTACTACTACTACTACTACTACTACTACTACTACTACTACTACTACTACTACTACTACTACTACTACTACTACTACTACTACTACTACTACTACTACTACTACTACTACTACTACTATACTACTACTACTACTACTACTACTACTACTACTACTACTACTACTACTACTACTACTACTACTACTACTACTACTACTACTACTACTACTACTACTACTACTACTACTACTACTACTACTACTACTACTACTACTACTACTACTACTACTACTACTACTACTACTACTACTAGTACTACTACTACTACTACTACTACTACTACTACTACTACTACTACTACTACTACTACTACTACTACACCTCCACATGTCATACGTATCCCGAGTAGGATTGAGGATTGCATTGGATTGCGGCCATCATGGGGGCCGCACTCCAATGTGATCCAACTCAGACGGCTGGTAGGAAGAAGTAGGGTAAAACGTAGGACAGCGTGGAGAGTGCATTAGTGCATTAGGTTGATTAGGTTCCGTCCGCCCTCTGGACACTTAAAGTTGAAGATGGAAGTGGGAAGGAAGTAGGAAGGCACTTAGAATAGACTGGATCCTGGGACACCGTAAAAATACATACTTTCAATGACCGATTGGCAAGAATGAAAATGTGAAAACACATGTGGACAGGGGGTGGGGATGATAAGCTATAGGCTGTACGGGGTAGGCAAATAGTGCAATAAACTGTCATTTTATCTTTTGATCTGTTGATCCTTCTGATCTTCATCCTCCTCTCCTGATCCTCCTGTCGCGCTTGCATTATTCCTAATCATCATCCGCCTGGCAATCCTCCGCCTCGTTCTCTTCCTCTTCCGCCTTCCTTCCCGTCGTCGTCCTCCTCCTCTCCTCTCAGCTTCTTTGCCCCCGCCCCCCTCCTCGTCTGCCTCCCCTTGAGCATTTTTGTTCCGATTATCTTTCCCTGTTCGTCATTTTCGCCATTCTCGGCCATTCTCGTCCTACCCCTTTGCCTGTTCCTCCGCCTTCTTCTCTTTGCTGCGGTTAGCAGCGGCCGCCTCGCTGGGTGCCAGGGGCGAGCCTCCAGGGCAGCCCAGGGACGCTCCGGAGGCTTACCGAATCTGCCTCCGGAGCCGCGGGCTGTGCGCAGGCTTTGTGTCGGGAGCCGCCTCCCCATGCTTGGAGTAGGAGAGGAGAAGGAGGAGGAGGAGGAGGAGGAGGAGGAGGAGGAGGAGGAGAGAGAAGGAGAAAATGGTCACTCTCCTCTGCGGCGAGTTTTGGGTCGTCGCCCTGCCCAAGCGTCGTTCACGGCATCCCGCCCCTTTGCGCCCAAACCGCGGCCCCGCCCATTCTTTCTCCGCCTTCTGTTAAATCCTTCCCGACCCACGAATATGGCACCGTCGAGCCCCGATCCTCAACCCTCAACCCTCGGCTTTCGGCACGTCGAGCCCTCGATCGTGCGATGATCCACCGTTCGGTCCTCGATTCGGGGATCCTCGATCCTCGATCGGCGGGGCGCGCGCCGAGCGGCGGCCACTCCTCCGCCGCCCGCGCAGGGGCCCTCCGAGGCTGCGGGCGTCGTTGGCCGTCGCCGCCCGCCGCCCGCCGCCGCTGACGACGCCGTCGCCGTCCGCCGTCGCCGCCCGCCGCCGCCGTGCCGTCGTCAGCCGTCGTCGGACGTCAGCCGCCGCCGAGCCGTCGGGTCGCCCGCCGCTGCCCGCCGCCGCCGGCCAAGCGAGGGCCCCCCGGGGCGCTCGCCGCTCGCCGAGCGCGTCGCGGCGCGCGCCGCAGGAAGCCGCCGAGGGCGCGGGCGTCGAGGCGCGGCCCCGCCGGTCTCTCGGCGACGCGCCCTGGCTTGGGATCCGCCGTGTTCGGGTTCCGTGTCTGGTCCTTTGGTTGGCGCTGGAGAGGCATCGTGTGGCGTGGCGCCGCCGGCCCGCCTCTGTCACGGTCAGGCCCCGCCCTGCGTGCGCCGACGCAGCGCTGGCGGGGAGAAGGCGCCTGCAGAGAGGGCCCTCGCGGGGGGATCGCATCGCGGAGATCCAGCGTGCTTTTCGGAGATGGGTGTCTCACGCGATCTTCCCAGCTCCAATCGCACACTTGTCTTGGAAGGCACCCTGAGCGATGCGAGCAAGGAGGGCGCAAGTGTCCGCCTCAGGACAGTAGGGCGAATAGCTCCGCAGAGGTACGGCGGAAGCGGCGTCGGAAACGCAGGGTCCAGTTAACGTCGGCAGCAAAGGAGCTTGAAAAGAGGGGCGGGAATTCCCGCCTTGCTTACGAGCTCGTCCGAAGTACGGCGGATCCGAAGTTGGGGCGCTCCCGTGGCCGGCCCGCCTCTGCGCCCGCTCGGTCGCCGCCGCCGTCGCGGCCGTTGCCGTGCGACGACGACTCTGTCGGCGACGACGTCGCCGGCAGGCCGCCGTTGGTGCACCCTGGTTTGGAGCCGGATTGCCGCACCGCACCGCCGTCCTCGTGACGCCCCGCCTCCTGCGGCCGGGCCCCGCCACCCGCTCGGTCGCCGCCGCTGTCGCGGCCCTCTCGCCGCCGCCGTGCGACGACGACTTCGTCGGCTGCGACGAAGTCGTCTTCGAGGGGGGGACGACTTCGTCGGCGGCTTCGTCGGCGACGACGGGGGATTCTCTGCCGTTCTCGGCCTGCGGGGCCCCTCGCCGGGCGCCGGGGCTGTCGAAAGCTGGCCCCGGGGTGCGAAGCCAGACGGGGCCAGGGCGAGGATGGATCCGTCCCAGAGCGTTCCGGAACGCTTTCCGAGCGCTCGCGCTCTGAGAAGGCCGCGGCGCCCGAGCCGCCGGATCTCAGAGATTCTCGAGTCATCCTCATCCGCTGTGATTCTCGTCCGGGCTGCGTCTTGGCGAACTTCTCCCCGGGGATGAGAAACGGGTCCCCGCGACCGGTTTTATCCTCGTCCTGGCTTCGTCTTAACAAATTTTGCCCCGGGGATGGGAAATCGGTCCCCGCGCCCGCGCTCGGCAGCCGCCGCCGCGGCGGCCGCTTGGTCGCCGCCGTCGACGGCCCGAGACCTCCCGCGCAGATGGAGCGACAGGGCGTCCTGGCCGCGCTCGCGCGCGTGCCCGACGCCGCTGGGGACGACGACGACGACGACGACGACGACGACGACGACGACGACGACGACGACGACGACGACGACGACGACTACGACGACGACGGACAACCGACGACGACGACGACGACCACCACCACCACCACAGCGAGGCTGAGGCCCGGGGGCCCTCGTCGGGCCCCCGGGCCGTGAAATCGAAGGATAAGCAGCGGCGTGGGCATCAGCGTGCTGGGCTCCGCGCGGGCTTCTCGGATCTCGATTTGCCCTTTGATGTGGGTGTGGTCGCTTGCTGCTCCCGCAACGACCCTGACTCTCATGATGCTGATCATGGTGATGATGGTAATGACGATGGTGATGCTGATGCTGATGCTGATGAGATGAGATGCTGATGATGATGATGATGGTGGTGGTGCTGATCAAGGTGGTGATGATGATATAATGATGGTGGTGATGCTGATTATGATGATGGTGATGATGGTGGTGCTGATCAAGAATATGATGATTATGATGGTGTTGATATGATGATGATGCTGATGATGATGATGCTGCTGATGCTGATGATAATGATGGTGGTGGGGATGATGGATATGATGATGGTGGTAATGATGATGACGGTAATGATGATGTTGTTGATGATGATGGTGATGATGACCATGATCATGATCATGACCATGATCATGATGATATTGTCTCTCACTCTGCTGATGCGCTTGGGTGCACCTTGAAAGGGATGCTCGACCCGCTTGGGACTTGCCTAACCCGGAGGTGAGCTCGCTCGCTCGATTTGCCCACGATGTGGGTGTGGTCGTTTGCTGTCCCCGCGACGACCCTGACTCTCCACCTTCCACGCCTTCCGACCAGCAGGTGGCTGGTTTAGTGACCCTCTCGAGGGACAAGAAGCCGCAAGAAAACAACCGATGGACAAGAAGCTGCATAAATATAATCTGTCGGTGCTCCGCGCGGATTTTGGGGTCTGCGATGGGCCCTCCTGGTGGCGCTGCGCGACAGGGCGGGGCCTTCCGGCGCCGATCCAAGAAATCGGTGTGGAGCTCCGAAAGATTGTGCTTACGTAGTTTTGTTTCAATAACAGACGACCCAGGTCTAAAAGCAGGTACCCAGGAAGGGGCCCAGAGCGCCGAGGACCCCATTGAAACAAAAAATCGAGACATCCCCCGCGGCCAGCTAGGCCCGCGCCCCCTCGGCAGCCGCCGCCGTCGCTTCGCCGCCGCCACCGCCGTCGTCGACTCCGTGACATCGGCGACGGCCCCGAGACTGGGGTGTTGCAAGTGCCTAGGCCTCCCAGATGGGGCCCGAGCAGATGGGGCCGGAGGCGCGAGCGCGCCGCATCGCCGATGCATCGGCGATGCGGTTCGATGCGGAGCCCAGTCTGCTCCGCGCTGGCGTCGCCGATGCATCGCCGAAGTCGCCGATGCATAGCCGATACATTGGCGATGCGGCGTGATCCTCTGACACCATCTACAGTCACCCCGCAGGGTAAGGATGGGCGACTTTCTAAGGGTACGCTTGCATCCTTCCCCTTCGGCCCTCCCTGGCCGCTTTCGCTGGCCGCGCCCCGCTCGCAAAGTGTCGACGTGGCCCTCAGAGGCCCTTGCATCCTTATCGTGCGTCCTTATCCTACGCCCATGCAGGATTCTAAGATAGATATCCAACGTTCATGGACTCCCGGTTCTATTTGAGGGAATCAGGAATATGGATTGGGCCTTGGTAACTTGAAGCAGGGGTCTACTCGAACCTCATTTAGGAGGCGCATACGGCTGCCCCGCCTTAAAACGTTATCCTGGCGAAAGGACCCAACCATGTGCAGTTGTGAGTGCCTTCGTTGCGGGTGCCGCCTTTGAGGGATCTTCTCATGGGGCCATGAAGCATGCGACGGGTGTGCCGATGAAGGGCGGTGCCGCCATGTGGGCGCTGCCACTTGTGCTTTGCACACTACGGGGCAGCGAAACGTGTGATGGGGTGCGCCGCAATGGGGCGGGGCCGCCACTGGGGCCTTCGGTGGAGCTCCATATGGCGCAGCGAAGCGCTGTACTGGGTGGCTGAAATGTATGCGAACACAGCCATTGAGGCCTTCGGTGGAGCTCCCGATGGGGCCACGAAGCGTTGTACTGGGTGCGGGGAACGCGCTCGAACACCGCCGCTGAGGCCTTCGCTTGAGCTTCCTTTGGTGCCATTAAGAGTTTCACTGGGTGGGGGAAACGCATACGAACACCGCCACTTGGGCCTTCGGATGGGCTCCCTATGGGGCTTAGTGTAATGTGCGGGGGAGGAACGCATGCGAACACCGCCACTGGTGCCTTAGGTGGAGCTCCCTATGGGGCCACGAGGCGCTGTATTGGGCTTGCGAAGCGCAAGTGAACACCGCCACTGGGGCCTTCAGTTGAGCTCCCCTATGGGGCCATGAAACAAGCTGTACTGGGTGGAGGAAGCGCGTGCGAACACCGCAATTGAGGCCTCCGGTGGAGCTCCTTATGGGGCCACGAAGCGTTGTATTGGGTGGGGGAAACGCATGCGAACACCGCCGCTGGGGCATTCGGAGCTGCTCCCTAAGGGGCCACCAAGCGCTGAACTTGGGTGGGAAAACGCATGCGAACACCGCCACTGGGGCCTTTGGTGGAGCTCCCATATGGGGCCACGAAGCGCTGTATTGGGTGGAAGAAACGCATACGAATTTTGCCAGTGGGGCCGTCGGTGGAGCTCCCCGTTCGGCCACGAGACGCTGTACTGGGCTGGGGAAGCGCGTGCGAACACCACCACTAGGGCCTTCGGTGGAGCTCCCATATGGGGCCATGACGTGCTGTACTGGGTGGGGGAAACGCACGTGAGCACCGCCTATGAGGCCTTCGGTTGAGCTCCCCTAGGGCCACGAAACGCTTTCCTAGGTTGGAAAGCGCATGCGAACACCGCCACTGGAGCCTTAGGTGGAGCTCCCTCTGGGGCTACGAAGCGCTGTACTGGGTGGGGGAAACGCATGCGAACACTGCCACTGGGGCCTTTAGTGGAGCTGTTTATGGGGCCACGAAGCGTTGCACTGGGCGGGGGAAACGCATGCGAACATCGCCACTGGGGCTTTCAGTGGAGCTCGCCGTGGGGCCACGAAACGTACCAAAGTGGAGTTCCTTTGGGGGCCACGAGCCGTGTGAGGGGTGTGCTAGAATTGGTGGGGGGACGCATGCGAACGGTGCCACTGGGCCCTTCGGTGGACCTCCCTAGGGGGCCACGAATCGTGTGAGGGGAGGGAGGGGGGGAGGAGGAGGAGGAGAAGAGGTGGAGGAGGAGGAGGAGGACGAGGAGGAGGAGATGAGGAGGAGGAGGAGGAAGATAGGAGGAGGAGGTGGAGGAAGAGGAGGAGGAGATGAGGAGGAGGAGGAGGAGGAAGAGGAGGAGGAGGTGACAACGCGTGGCTCTGCCTCCTGAAAACGAGGATAGAACACCATAGGATGGCTCGGAAATAGTAGCACGAGACTTCCCCCGTCGCTGGCCGGGCGCCCACGCCTGCTCGGTTGCTGCCGCCGTCGCTTCGCCGCCGCCGCCGCCGTCGTCGGCTTCGTTGCGCCGCCGACGGGCTCGAGATCCGGGCGTTGCACGTACCTAGGCCTCACAGATAGGGTCCGAGAAGATGGGGTCCCAGACCCCTTTGGAGTCATGAACAAACCGCTGGGTACCTCCGCCGGGTCTCGGGACCGTTTACCAACTGCTTAGGATGAGAAGTAGGCCCCGGGGAATGGGTCGACCAGGTGGGGTCCGAGCAGATGGGATCCCAGACCCCTTTGGAGTCATAAACAAATCACGACGGCGGGTTTTTCGCTGTTTTCGGCCTCTGGGGGCCTTCGCCGGGCCTCGGGACCGCTGAGGAGCTGCTTGGGATGAAAAGCCGGCCCCGGGGGGAATGGGTCGACCCACCGCCTCCAGAGCACGCCTCACGAGGCCGAGGGCCCCCCAGGGGCTCCAAAATGGAGCGAGAAGCGGGGGGCATCGTGGGCCAGGGGCACGTCGATCAACCCCCGGCTGAGATGAACTGCGTGTCTTGGGAAGTCGAAGCTGTTTCCAAAAAAACCAACTCGACTTACCAATATACGCAGCTCGTTGGAAGCAGGTTTTTTTTTGGAAGCAGGTTCGACTTCCCAAAACGCGCAGTTTCTTGGGAAGCAGGTTAGACTTCCCAGTGCACGCCGTTCATCTCAGGTTGTTTTGGAAGCAGGTTCGACTTCCCAATACGCGCAGTTCATCTCAGGGGTCCGAGTAGATCGGGTCGGAGGAGCGAGCCGCATCGCCGATGTATCGGCGATGCGGCTCGATGTGGAGCCCGACTTCTCGTCGCCGACGTTGCCAATGCATCGGCGATGATTACACCAGCGATTTGGTGCAATCTTCTTCTGACCTAATCTACTCGGACCCATCTACGAAAGGGCTCAATCGCCATTAATCGTTTTGGCGAATCTGGGCACAAGAAAGAGACACAACCACAGTAAGTAGAGTTTTCAGGATGGCCCCTTGGGGAAGAACCCACTGACCTAGACATGAACACTTTGATTTTAGTTTTGGTCGACTTGGCCGTCCAGGAAGCTCATATCGACCACAACCAGAACTGAGCTTGTGTCGGGGTTCCAGGGTTTGTCCTCGTGGGTGTGGTTGCTTGCTGTACCCGCACCTCGACCCCAGACGTCATGTTGTTTTATAGCGTCGACCCTCAGACACTGGTTTTTTGAATGTCTCGGGGCCGCGGTGCGGGAGGGTGACATTTTGGCTAGGTGCAGGGCCATGGCCTGGTAAGGGCCTCCAGAGGCCGAAAATCACGAACAACCTTCCGTCGATATTGTTTCACGACTCGAGGGGGTCTGGGAACGAACCTCCGAGGAGTTGCTCCCTAACCCTGCCCTGCCTCCTGCCCCCGACTTCGATTCGGTTCGATTCGATTTCGATAGATTCTGACTCCGAGTCGATTTCTCCGATTCGCTGAGCCCGTTTCTTTATTGTTTTGGGCATGACGGGCGTCATGGCCCCCGGCCCCCCCCACCCATGACGTAACGCTCCCCCCTCCAGTGCGCTCCGGGCACTGCCCCCCAGTGCGCTCCGAGCACTGCCGCTGTGCGCGTTGGGATCCGCGTAGGTGTCCGCATAGGAATCCGCAAAGGAGTCTGGTCCGCAGTCGTCGTCGTCGTCGTCGCTCGTGGCTTGTCGCTCGTCGCTCATAGTCGTCGTGCGCGCGGACGCGGCTGAAGCCTGTTTTTTATTCCGGGCCGATGACGGCAATCATCTAGGGGGGAATGGAGGGGTCGATGACGTCACGTTTCGCGCCGGCGGCGTTTGGGAATGCCTAGGAATGACGGAGGACGGGGAGCGCCAGCATGTAGGTAGCGATTTGCACCACAATTCCTGTGTACACCACAGTGCCTGCGTGCATCACAGCGCCTGTGTACACCACCGCCTATGTACACCACAGCAGCCGCGGGCAACACAGCGTCAGTTTGTGCCGCCGTGCCTGCGGGCACAACAGCTCTTGTGCACCACACAGCGGCGTTCACCACATCAGCCGTGTGCAACACAGCACCAGTATACACCACAATGCTTGCGTGCATTGCAGTGCCTGTGTACACCACGGCGCTTGTGTGCACCACAGCAACCGTGTGCAACACAGCACCATTGTTGTATATAGAATGTGAGAACGAATCCTTATGACAAAATGGATCGCTTGTGGATTCCACAGAAACAATATTACATAATCCTTATGGACAACGGAGCGCCGCTGGAATCTATGTGTCCTCCCGAGTCCGCCCGCCTCACCCTAACTCCTCCCTTTGCGTCCAGGAGGTTCCAGCTAAATTGGCCGTCCGGGAACCAAGTGGACCGATTCAACAGACCATTGTGCGGTGCGCGCTGAGATGCGCACGTGCGCTGTAGCGCCAACCCGCACGACAGGGGGTAAGGAGCAGGAGGAGGAGGAGGAGAAGGAGGAGGAGGAAAGGGTAGAGGTGGAGGAGGAGGAGGAGGAGAAGGGAGGAGAGAAGAACGTCGCATTCGAGTATCAGCAATTTCCTGGCGTGGCGTCTAGTTGTCCGCAGCAGATCCTCACGTACATGCTCCTTCTACTTGTCCAATGCACGCAGGCATTGTGGTGTACACCAGCGCTGCGTTGCACGCGGATGCTGTGGTGTAGACGCGCGCTGTGGCGTGCACAGGCGCTGCGGTGCACGCAAGCATTGTGGTGTACACAGGCGCTGTGTTGCACATGGTAGCTGCGGTGTGTAATTGTACGCCGGCACTGTAGTGTACGCAAGCATTGTGGTGTACACGGGCGCTGCGTTGCACACGGTTGTAGCGGTGTACGCAGGCGCTGTGGTATACACGCGCGCTGTGGTGCACGCGAACGTTGTGGCGTACACAGGCGCAGTGGGGCATATCGCCACCTACATGCTGCTCGCGTCGTCGACGTCGTCGTCGTGATCGTCGTCGTCGTGGTCGTCGTCGTCGTCGTCGTCGTCGCTCGTCGCCCGTCGCGTCGCGCGCGCGGGCGCGGCTGCGGTGCCGCAGCCACACGGCGGGCGTTACGTCAGACCCGCCCCTCGCCCCCCCCTGCCCCATGACGCCCGTCATCGCCGAACATAAAGAAACGCGCTTGATTTTATTCAGAGTTGGCTGCCGATCTCTGCCGATCCGATTAACTTCGATCGACGATCCGACTCATCGATTCGATTCAGAGCTCTCCTTGGGGGGGGGTGCGGCGGCTTTCTGGGAAAACCGAAAGCTATTGATACCGCTACTCCCCGCACCTCTCCCGGGGCGCGTTCTGGCCAGGACCTCGAGGCGACTCCAGCGGTGGCGGCGAGGGCCTCCGAGGAGGCCGAAGAGGGGGAGGACGGGCGACGGGTGGCGGTGCGTGTGGGTACTTGTTCCGCCTCCGCGTCTCCCGCCCGCGCGCGCCCAGGGCCTGGCCCTCGCGCAGGCCCAGCGCATGGAGGAGCGGGGCTGCGCGCGGCGCTCGCCGCGCGCCCCTTGGGGCGGGGCCCCCTCGCGCGCGCGGCGGGGTGCCGCGCAGCGGGCGGGGGCTGCCGTGGATCGGCGGGGCGCCCAGGGGGGGAGGAGGAGGAGGAGGAGGAGGAGGAGGAGGAGGAGAAGGAGGAGGAATAGGAAGACGAGGAGGAGGAATAGGAAGACGAGGAGGAGGAATAGGAAGACGAGGAGGAGGAGGAGGAGGAGGAGGAGGAGGACTAATTACGACGAGGAGGAGGACGGACGAGGAGGAGGAGGAGGAGGAGGAGGAGGAGCAGCAGGAGGAGGACGAGGAGGGGAAGAATGAGGGGGGAGGAGAGGAGGAGCGGGAGAGGGAGGAGGGAGAGCAGGAGGTGGAGGAGGGTAGGGAGGGGGAGAAGCAGGAGGAAAGAGAAGGAGAAGGAGGACAAAGAGGAGGATGATGATGGGGAGGGAGGATCTAGGAGGAGGAGGAGGAGGAGGAGGAGGATGGGGAGGGACGATAGCGGAGGAGGAGAAGGAGGACCAGGAGGAGCGGTTTGCAAGGCAACGAGGAGGTGGAGGAGAAATAGGGGCACTTGGAACATGATGAGAACGAAGGGGAGAGGAGGCAGCCAGGAAAAGGGTGATGAGGGTCAGGATGAGTCGTCGCAGGGAGAGGCATTGGAGGTAAGAGAGGAGGGCAAAGGGAGGACGAATGGTGAGCAAGAGGGGGACTCAGAGGAGAGCCTAAAGGAAGGGGGCCAGAGGCAGGGCAGGAAGCAGGAGGAGCGGACCACGAAAGCGGCCGAGGGATCCAGCACGTGTGTGCCCTTCTTCTCGGCATCGCGGAGCGTGCGACGCGGCTCGTCTCTGCAGAGGCGCATCTGCCCGCCTTCCTCGGGACCATCTGCTCCGATGCATGCACACCCTCCTCGCCCCCCCCAAAACAAAAAGACTAGCCTTGCTCAATCGTCGATGTACTGGGGTTCGGACGGAGAGGACGAGGATTGATCCGTTCCAGAGCGTTCAGGAAGGCTCTGAGAGCGTTCTGCAACGCTCTGAGAAGGCCGTGGCGCCCGATGCATCCTCCAGAACCGCCGGAACTCAGAGATTCTCGAGCGATCTTTACCAGTTCTTCTCCTCGTCCTGGCTTCGTCTGAGGGGTTGGGCCATCCGTGATTTCAGCCATCAGTGGTCGCAGCGCTGGCGCCCTGCACTTGCCTTCACCTCTGCTCCTTACGGCAGGTTCGCGTCGTGCCGACCGGCGGCGACCCCAGCGCGTGCGTTTCAGGTTGAACGACGCCCATGGCCAAGAATAGGCCCGTCGTTGAACGATCCAGCGTTCACGGAACGGCCGATCGTTCAAGTTTGAACGATCTTCGCGGTGTCAGGAACCAACGCCAGGGTCGACACGACGCGAACCTGCCGTAGATTGGAGCAGTGTCGCGTTGCTTACCCACGGAGGCCTCTTCCCGCTTTCCCTCTCCGCGGCCGTCCGAGCCTGCTCCTCCTCCTCTTCCTCCTCCTCCTGCTCCTCCTGCTCCTCCTGCTCCTCCTCCTCCTCGTCGTCCTCCTCCTTCTCCTCCTCTACAGCCTCCTGCTGCTCCTCCTCATGCTTCTCCTCATGCTCCTCCTCCTTCTCCTCCTCCTCCTCCTCCTCCTCCTCCCTCTCCTCCTCCTCCTGACCCCCTCTCGGAAACGGGGGCAGCAGGGGCGAGTCCCCTGCCCTCCTGCGTGTGCCGGGGCAGTCGGACCGTGGTATAAGATCGAGGTCGGTTCAGGGAGGGTGCCCTGGTGTTCTCCGTGCTTGTCGGATGCTCCTGTGCATCCTCTGGGGGACGGTGACGGGAGTTGCCCTCGAGTGTTCTTCAGTGTGGCCTTCGGAGGATCGCACGTTCTTGAAGGATGTTCTTCTATCCTTGGTCCGGCTGTAGCGGCGCGTTCCTTACCCAGGGAGGCCTCCTCCACTTACCGCCTGCGCGGCCGTGATGGTGTCCCGATGATGATGCTGATGATGATGTTGATGATGTTGTCCAGGAGATGATGATGATGATGATGATGATGATAGTGTCCCGATGATGATGATGTTGATGATGTTGTTCATTGCGATGATGATGAGATGATGATGATGATGATGATGATGATGATGATGATGGTGATGATGATGGTGGTCTTCCGGTGATGATGCTGGTGTCCCGGTGATGATGATTATGATGGTGATGATGATGTTGTTGATGATGATGATGATGAAGATGATGGTGTCTCGATGATGATGATTATGATGGTGATAATGAAAATGATGGTGATGATGATGGTGATGAGGTGGTGATGATGGTGTCCCTATGATGGTGATGATGATGATGTTGATGACGTTGATGACGATGCTGTTGGTGATGATGATGATGATGACGTTGATTGTGATATCGATTGTGATATCGATAGTGAGATCAATAGTGAGACCGAATGTGAGATCGATTGTGAGATCGATCGTGAGGTCGATCGTGGGATCGATAGTCAGATCGATAGTCAGATCGATTGTGAGATCGATCGAATGAAATAGATCGGTTGAGATCGATTGTGGGATCGATCGAGTGAGATCGATCGAGCGGCACCGATAGTGATATCAATAGTGAGATCGATAGTGAGACCGATCGAGTGAGACGTTGGTTCCCCCCCGAACCTCCTTATCACCCGAAGGGTGGTCGTATAGGTATACATGTGTGTGTGTGTGCGTGTTCCTCCTCCTCCTTGTCCTTCTCCTCGCCCTCTTTCTCCCCACCTTTCTCCTCGCCCTCCTCGTCCTCCCTCTCTTCGTCCTCGTCCACTCCCTCCTCCTCCTCCTCCTCCTCCTCCTCCTCCTCCTCATCATCATCATCATCATCATCATCATCATCATCATCATCATCATCATCATTATTATCCTCGCCGTCCGTCGCCTCACGCTTCTCCCCCATGGGCATTTGTTTTGACGCTGCGCGGACCTAGATCGGATTCATTCGCCACCTCTTCCTTTTCCTTCTGCCTTTCCCCTTCATTTTCCACACGTTCCCTCCCCTCCTTGTCCTCCTTCCACCGCGCCCGTGGAGGAGATGGCAAAGGCGCAGGCCCAGCGCATCGCCGAGCAGGAGGACGAGATAGGGAAGCTCAGGCTTCCGCCGCGTCCCGTGGTCGATGCCGCCGTCTGTTCCACCGCCTCCGCCGATATGTTCTGAATATCTTCCTCCTCTTCCTCCCCCTCGTCCTCCTCCTTTCCCCCGCGTCTTCTGCAAGACACCCCCACCTGTGTCTGACCCTTCCTCCTCATCCTCCTCCTCCCCCTCCTCCTCATGCCTCTCCGGCCGCTGACGCTGCCCGCTGGCTTGTCTCGCCAAAACTGAGGCGGCTGGCTGGCCCTGCAAGGTCGTACTCCAGCGCGCCCAGTAGAGCCACGGTGGGTCAAGATGCTCCGCCTCCTATTCATGATCCGCCTCCCCCTCCTCCTCCTTCCCCTCCTCCTCCCACTCCTCCTTCTCATTATTCCTGTGTTTCTCCTCCTCCTCCTCCGCCTCCTCCTCGTCATCCTCCTCCTTCTCCTCCTCCTCCGTCTTCCTCCCCCTCCCCCTCCTCCCCCCCTCCTCCTCCTCCTCCTCCTCTTCTTCCTCCTCCTCCTCCTCCTCCTCCTCCTCCCCCTCCTCGTCAGCGTCATTATCATATTCATCTTCATCAGCAGCATCAGCATCATCATCGTCAGCATCAACATCATCCGTGGCCGTTTTGGCTCAAGTTCGAAACGTGCGTCCCTGGCGCTTCGAACTTGGACGCTGCCAAGGGGTGGCCCACGCGTCCAGACTGAGGATCGGCCTCGCTCCCCAGTCGTGCGCCACAGTACGCTGCCTTTTTGCACGCAAGTATTCGCACCACTCCAGTCTCCCAATCCTTTACCGTGATGCCTCCGCCGCAGAGGCGTGGAGATCGCCGCCCTGCTGACCCATCGCGCTTCGACATGGGCCCATCTGTGGCTGATCGTCGTGCAGAGCGTGAGCGCCAACGTGGCCAACGTTCATCCAGTTCTACCTCCCCTAGCCGCAGCGACAGGAGCCGCAGCGATGTTCGAGGCCAGAGTATTGTACCTGACAGGCCGCCCAGCTGGATGCACGAGCTGATGACGGCTGTCCAGGGCACCAACACCAGCGTGACCAAGCTGAACCAGGACATGGCCCAGGAGATTGACTCCATCTGCCCAGCCCTGACTGTCCATGACAAGAACCTTCAGTACGTTAGCGAGACGCTGTTGAAAGTTGAGAAGAAGGATGACGAAAGCATTCGGGTGGCGGTGGCAGCCGCGCTTGATACCAAGTTAGATGCTACCAACGCCGAGATGGTGGAGATCCGCCGTCTCCCATCGGGTGGTACGGCCCCGCCTGGTTCCACGAGAATTTCTTCCTCACGGACGGCCTCGCAGCAGGATGGTGCATGCAGGCTGGTGCCCCTCGGCGTCCCCAGGCCGATGGTGGCCAGCACCCTGCGTCGCGCTGCCGAGCAAGCTCGACAGCAAGCCGTGCCGCTTGCTGACCAGCACCAGGGTATCATCAAAGTATTCGACATGAATGGGGAAGCTTTCTTTGAGTCCGGCGACGCCAGCCAGGCCAGCAGTTCTTTCACCAACTTCGACGCCAATGCGACCTTCCCTGGCCCTCGTCGCGGCGCTCTCTCCCTCAAGCTTCGTCGGGACATGGGTCGGCGCAGCCGTCGTCTCTTCCTTGCAATGGGCAACATGAGAAACAAGCTCGGGACGATCCTTCGCTCCACGGGCTTCCAGGTTGGCTCGACTTGTCAGGTGGCGATATCTATGCGTTGAGAAGCCAGGAGGGCCCCGTTCGCGTCGCCCACATCACCCCCAGCGAGTGCTCCGACGAGATCCACGTTGAGCTAGAGGTCTCCGCGCTTCACGAGTTCGGGCTGGAAGCCCATGCAGATGCCCTGATCGAGGCAGCGAAGGTTGCACTCAGGCGTTCCTACTGATGCGCCCCAAGATGGCCATGATTGGGGGTCTGAGGGTGGGCCGTTTTCTGCATCTCTCTCTCTCTCTCTCCCTCTCTTTCTCTCCCCTTCCTTTCCGTACAGTAGCAACCCGTCCGATGATAGTAACAGTAGCAATAGCAGTAGTAGTAGTAGTAGTAGTAGTAGTCGTAGTCGTAGTCGTAGTCGTAGTCGTAGTCGTAGTCGTAGTCGTAATAGTAGTAGTAGTAGTAGTAGTAGTAGTAGTAGTAGCAGCAGTAGTAGTAGTAGTATTAGCCGTAGCAGCAGTAGTAGTAGTAGTAGTAGTAGTAGCAGCAGTAGTAGTAGTGGTGGTGGTGGTGGTGGTAGTATTAGTATTAGTATAGTATTAGTATTAGTATTAGTATTAGTAGTAGTAGGAGTAGTAGTAGTAGTAGTAGTAGTAGTAGTAGTAGTAGTAGTAGTAGTAGTAGTAGTCGTCGTCGTCGTTAGCCGTAGTAGTAGTAGTAGTAGTAGTAGTAGTAGTAGTCGTAGTAGTAGTAGTAGTAGTAGTAGTAGTAGTAGCAGTAGTAGTAGTAGTAGTAGTAGTAGTAGTAGTAGTAGTAGTAGTAGTAGTAGTAGTGGTAGTAGTAGTAGTAGTAGTAGTAGTAGTAGTAGTAGTCGTAGTAGTAGCAGTAGTAGTAGTAGTAGTAGTAGTAGTAGTAGTAGTAGTGTTAGTAGTGGTCGTAGTAGTGGTAGTAACCGCATGCCGATGATAATAAAGGGACCCCCCCCTTCAGTGTTTAGAGTTGATTATCGTCGCCCCATACAAAATTTAAATTGGGCGGCGGGCGCTGAGGCCGAACTTCATTATCACCTCGAAACGCTATGTTGAGATAGCAACATCAAGCGATGTTGATATAGCAACATCAAGCGAAGCGATCACACTTTTTCAGGATGTGTCAAGCGGAACCAATAATTTTGGGAGGCAGACTCAAACGAAACGAGCTATCCCCGCGCGCGCCTGAACTTTTTTATCCCTGGGGTTGATTATCCATGGAAAAGGGGGGCACATGAGCTACATGAGCACTTAAAAAAATCAATGTTCATAAAGCGTTTGTAAATTAAAATTGATAGATTTGGAACTTTGGATTTTTCCGTTCTTCTTCTCTTCTTCTTCTTCTCTTCTTCTTCTCTTCTTATCATTATTATACTTTCCTCTTCTGATTTTATATTTCTCTCTGTCCTCACGCTCGCCTGAACTTTTTCATCTCTGGGGTTGATTATCCATGGAAAATGAAGCACATGAGCTACCCTACACGAGCACTTATAACATCAATTTTCATAAAGCGCTTGCAAATTAAAATTGATAGATTTGGAACTTTGGATTTTTCCTTTCTTCGTCCTCTTCTTATTATCCTCTTCTTCTTCTTTCTTATTATTATTATACTGTATTCTTCGTCTTTTATATCTCTCTCTGTCCCCACGCTCGCCTGAACTTTTTTTATCTCTGGGGTTGATTATCCATGGAAATTGAGGCACATGAGCTACCCTACACGAGCACTTACAAAAAAAAAAAAAAAAAAAAAAAACATAAACAATAGTTTGACGGTGTCTCAACCGAAATAAGCAATAGTTTCAAGATGTCTCAAGCGAAATACGCAATAGTTTCAGGATGTTTCAGGCGAAATCAGCAATAATTTGAGGACGTTACAAGCGAAAACCACAATTATTTCGAGGATGTCTCAAGCGAAATAAGCAATAGTTTGACTGTGTCTCAAGCGAAATAAGCAATAGTTTGCGGATCTCCCAAGCGAAACAAGGGATTTGCCGAGGATGTCTCCAGCGAGATAAGCCATTGTTGAGGATAGTTCTATGAAAACTAAACGCCAAGGATGTCTCAAAACGTACTCGGCTTGGTCTCCTCTTGATCACTTCTTACTTCGAGATTATGCTGAGGTCCGCTAGGCTACTTTTATTATCTCTCCCTGAACCCCGAATTTTATCATCCCCTAGTGTTTATTCTCGCGGGCATGAGGTTAGTCGTGGTCGTAGTAGTAGTAGTAGTAGTAATAATAATAATAGTAGTAGTAGTAGTAGTAGTAGTAGTAGTGTTAGTAGTAATAGTAGTATTAGTAGTAGTTGTAGTAGTAGTAGTAGTAGTAGTAGTACTAGTAGTAGTAGTAGTAGCAGCAGCAGTAGTAGTAGTAGTAGTAGTAGTAGTAGTAGTAGTATTCGTAGTAGTAGTAGTAGCAGTAGTAGTAGTAGTAGTAGTAGCCGTAGTAATAGTAGTAGTAGTAGTAGTAGTAGTAGTAGTAACAGTAGTAGTAATAGAAGTAGTAGAAGTAGTAGTAGTAGTCGTAGTAGTAGTAGTAGTAGTAGTAGTGGTAGTAGTAGTAGTAGTAGTAGTAGTCGTAGTAGTAGTAGTAGTAGTAGTAGTAGTAGTCGTGGTAGTAGTAGTAGTAGTAATAGTAGTAGTAGTAGCCGTAGTAGTAGTAGTAGTAGTAGTAGTAGTAGTAGTAGTAGTAGTAGTAGTAGTAATCGCATGTGTTGCAGTTCCAGTGATTCGTCTAGCAGCTCTTGCCCGAGCGTCTCGTCGTTACTCGCAACTCCTGCAGCCTGCGTCTCGTCATAGCAACGCTTGCGTGCAAGAGACGCATGGCCATCTTGGGGATGCGGAAGAAGTCCAGTACCAGCTTCATGGAAGCCACCTCTGATATTCTATGCGTGCGGAGGCATCGTTCGCGCCCCCATCGCGCCTGGTGTTCGCCTCACTCGCAGCGTTGGTCGGGGGACCATGCTCACCACCGTTAACTGCCACATGCCAAACACAAGCGACGGCGCGCCGCTGCACCGCCGCGTGTTGAATGACATCTGTCGCGCCTGGCCGCCTGCCACTGCCCCTTTTAACTTTATCGCGGGGGAGTGGGATGTCACGCTTGAGGAGGATAGAACCAACGTCGCTCAGTCCATGGAGGAGGGGGCTTGGCATCAGATGCGGGCTGGGAGGTGGAGGCGGAAAAAAGGGAGATGTGGAGTAAGCTTCGTCGTCGTGTTTTCTGCTAGGTGTGCTTCGAGAGGGCGGGGTGCCATGCCGCTCGCTAGACGCATATGGTGCTGCGCTCGGTTCCTATCGGGGTAGTGTCTGTAAGCGTGCGCCTGAAGACAGGTCCTTGTGGGGCGAGGTTGCCCAATTTACCCACCGGGTTTCGGATTGCAGCGTTCAGCCTGCATATTTCACGGATCAGAGCACCTT